AGCGCAACAGACGATGCTACAGCAGCAACAGACGATGCTACAGCAGCAGCAGACGATGCTACAGCACAGCACAGCAGCTGACGGGGTTTACACAGCAACAGACGATGCTACAGCAGCAACAGACGATGCTACAGCAGCACAGACGATGCTACAGCAGCAGCAGCAGCTGACGGTGGTACAGCAGCAACAGACGATGCTACAGCAGCAACAGACGAGCTACAGCAGCAATCTGACGATGTTACAGCACAGCAAAACGATGCTACAGCACCCAGCAGAAAGCTGACGGTGGTACAGCAGCAGCAGACGATGCTACAGCAGCAGCAGACGATGCTACAGCAGCAGCAGACATGCTACAGCAGCAGCAGCGATGCTACAGCAGCAGCAGACGATGCTACAGCAGCAGCAGACGATGCTACAGCAGCAGCAGCAGCTGTACCACCAATATTAGCGATGGTTGATTGGGGTTTATATACAACCTGGCCAGCTGGGAGACACGCACTCCACTTTCATACTTATCAATGATCTTTTTCTTCATCTCCATAGTAATTCTCACCCTTATTGCTTTAGGGTTGGCACAGAAGCTTTCTTGGGGCCCATGGTCACTTATTTTCCAGAAAAAAATCACCAAAAACCTGTAATAATACGAAATTTTTCCGATTGTAGCTTGGATGTTACCGCGGAGGCTGGCTGGTAAACAATGCCACCGGCGGAACATGTGAGCGTGGCTCAGGCCGCACATTGGACGCGTCTCGGACGAAGGGCGGTGAGCGGGTTTTTGGGCGGTATGCGAGGCAAAATTTTTGCGATCAAAGCGTCCGGTATGCGGATTGTACGGTATGCGATGCGTCCGGTATGCGGGGGTCCACTGTATTATGAAATATTTCGCTGGAGCACGTGAGGGGACCTTCGCTCACTGGTAAACAATGCCAGACTGGCTGCCACCCTGGCTCACGCCGTGGGTACGCGTCCCGGACGAACTACGACTCGCGAGTCAACCTATGAAAAGCGAGTCCATGTTTATACGAAAATACCTCTATGATTGGCGAATTTTACGATTGCCGGGAACTACGAAAAGCGGGGGACCACTGTATTCTTGTCGGCTGAAATAATATTCAGATAGCTTATATGTATTATATTATATTATATTGTATTTTAAGCTCATAAGTTAATTCCACTCACCCATTTACTAGATAAACATACAGGCACAATACAAGGCACAAAAGTCTCTTTGACATCCCTTGTGTCCATCTCACCCTTTGCAAAAATGCAATGCACATCTGGAATTCACTGCCTGAACCAGCAAAAGGTCTCCTACTTGCCAATCAATTTAGGGCTATACTTAAAATTCATCTGGTCTCAAAAAATTAACCATACTAACACAATACTAAATCATTTAACTGGTTTACGACTCAAAAAATCCCCCCAAAATTAGGACTGCTGGATCAGTTTAAAACATTAATACATGTACATGTTTAAAACAGTACTGTTGTAGCATTGTGAATTGTATTAATTGTAATACTGTACTGATATTTGTTTTGTGCTAACTCACTACTATAAATCTTATTAATTATAAAATTTTTTGGCTACCTGACTTTAGTAATAAGGTAAAGTAATGAATAATTAAAATTTACCACTTCTATAAGCTATGTTTAGTTTTAAGTCGTGTGCAAGCATTAGGGTCAGCTCACCTGAAATGCTCAGACATGTTAGTGGCTTTGTATTTAACCCTTTCAGGGATTCCGATGCACTAGTACGGCTTACGCACCAAGGTTTTTGACATACTAGTACGCCTAAATTCTAGCGCCCTCAAATCTAGTGAGAGAAAGTAGGTAGGCCTGCATATGAAAGAATGGGTCTATGTGGTCAGTGTGCACAGTATAAAGAAAAATCCTGCAGCACACAGTGTGAAATGAGAAAAAAAAAATTTGACAGTGTTTTTGGTTTAAAACAGTGACTTTGCACTGTATTTTCACATGGTATTTACGATGGTATTCTAGTTTTCCTGGTCTCATTTTATAGAATGGAAGACATATTACAGAAATTGAGACGATTTTGATTGGTTTTACAATGAAAAGTACGTACCTTGAAATTGAGCTCAAAGTAGCAGAAATCTTCGATTTTTGCCAAAGTTCAAAAGTAAACAAATCATGCTACGCATCCAATACACATCAACTGGTGAGTCCAATATCCTTTCACAAGTGCGCTGATATTATTTATACCATTTCTACACTAATGCGGTAGTCTGCATAACAGTAAATCTTCTATTTTTTGTGAGAATAAAAATTCAAAGTGGACAGCAAAAGAATGTAAGAGGGGTGTGGGGACGTGACTAGTGAACAGAGGAAATGTTATTTTAGTGCCAGGAATGTCTTTCTTGTTTATTTTGGACCCTATTTGGAAATTGCCATCTTTTGAAATTTGTGTGAAATTGGCAAAATTGCTAAATTCTGACCACTGTAATGGATAGTTGAAATCGGTAAATGGGTAGTTTCTTGTACTCATTCGATAGAAAAAATGGAGTTCTAGCGAAATAGTTATGATTTTTGTCGACTAGTACACTGGAATTGGCTGAAAATAGGGCTCAAAGTGGGCAAAATCACTGATGCGTAAATATCGTCGAGACCGCTAACTTCACAAAAGCATAATTCCGAAAGTTTTCCATCAAATTTCATACTTTTGGTGTCATTATGATCGAGAAAAGATTCTCTATCTTTTCATAAGATTTTTTTTTTTTAAATTTGGGCGACCCTAAGAACAAGTCTGGGAGAGGGCCTGGGGACCCTGAAAGGGTTAACAACACTTAATAAAATGTAAATCACACAATGTATCCTTTACAAAGAAATAAAAATTGTATTGTATACTGAAGGTATTCAGTTATTCTATAAAAGAGTAATTAAAGATACATTAACCCTTAAACTGTCCAAACGTAGATCTACGTTTTTTCAACATTTGAAAGTATGTAAAAAAAGTAGATCTTTTCTTTTTTTTACATTTGAAAAAGTGTAAAAAAAAAACTTTGATCTACTTTTTTTTGTTATATTTGAAAATATGTAAAAAAAAAAGGTAGATCTACTTTTGGAGCACTACGCATGTGAACGTAGATCTGCTTGGACAGTTTAAGGGTTAAGGATGAACCTAGGTACCTGAAGTGATACAAAAAAGGTTTTTGTATCAATTCAGGTACTACAAAACTGTATTCACATCCCCTCTAGTACCATACTAGGTACTACAAAATTGTATTCACTTCCCCTCTAGTACCATACTAGGTACTACAAAATTGTATTCACTTCCCCTCTAGTACCATACCAGGTACTATGAAATTGTATTCACTTCCCCTCTAGTACCATACTAGGTACTACAAAATTGTATTCACTTCCCCTCTAGTACCATACTAGATACTACAAAATTGTATTCACTTCCCCTCTAGTACCATACTGGTGTTAGTTCACAATCTTGCCAAAGATATTCTAGACAATGCTTGTGAGTAATTTTATTAATATGATTTAACTTTAGCTGCTTTACTCTGTCCTCAACATTCATCAAGGACCCCAATGGAAATAAGTCAAGGACTCCAATGGAATTAAATCACTGCCTGACTTTTTTTTGGGTTATCCAGAAAGGTAATTTACACACCGGACCCCATGGCCAGGTGGCAAAGGCACTCGCTTCACATGGTGAGGGTCCGGGTTCGGTTCCCGGCGAAGGGGTGGAAACATTGGACGTGTTTCCTTACACCGGTTGATAATGTTCACCCATCAGTAAAATAGGTACCTGGGAGTTAGTCGACTGGTGTGAGTCGCATCCTGGGACAAAACTGACCTAATTTGCCCGAAATGCTCTGCATAACAAGCGGCTTTCTATGTAGTAGTATGTCATTGATGTCAGCTATGGTCTGTATACCTTGTACATGTAGAAATAAAGATATTATTATTATAATTGTACTTATGTGCACCTGTGCCTAAATAAAGTTTACTTATTTATTAATAATATCCAGTTTATTAATAATATCCGCATAACGGAGATAAAACACCTCAATTACTGGGAGCGCTTGAGGTTTCTAAACCTGTATTCCCTGGAACGCAGGCCGGGAGAGATACATGATTATATACACCTGGGAAAATCCTAGAGGGACTAGTACCGAACTTGCACACGAAAATCACTCACTACGAAAGCAAAAGACTTGGCAGACGATGCACCATCCCCCCAATGAAAAGCAGGGGTGTCACTAGCATGTTAAGAGACCATACAATAAGTGTCAGGGGCCCGAGACTGTTCAACTGCCTCCCAGCACACATAAGGGGGATTACCAACAGACCCCTGGCAGTCTTCAAGCTGGCACTGGACAAGCACCTAAAGTCAGTTCCTGATCAGCCGGGCTGTGGCTCGTACGTTGGTTTGCGTGCAGCCAGCAGCAACAGCCTGGTTGATCAGGCGCTGATCCACCAGGAGGCCTGGTCACAGACCGGGCCGCGGGGGCGTTGACCCCCGAAACTCTCTCCAGGTAAACTCCAGGTAAGTTGTTATAGTTTATCCTGGTCTATAAGCTGTCTTGGATAATACTCTTGAGAGCACATTAATTCTTAATATTAAAATTGAATTTAGGTGGGAGTGCTAAACACAAAGGGGCCATACAGCATCTGGGAGAATGGGAAGCAAGAGTGATATTGGTACACATAGGTACACCAACGGAAATCGTCACTTGGTTTTTTTTTAATTTTGTTATCCTGGGTAATTTGCACTATATGATAACTGTACTTTGTAAGTTTATTTAGGTTCAGGTAGACATAAGTACAATTGTCATACAGGGTAAATTACCTGAGATAACCCAAATAAGTCACCTAGGATAACTAAAATAAGTCAAGAGTGACTTATTTCCACTGACCTCTTTCCAAGGAAAGAGAAGGTCAGATCTGACTGTTTGGATCAAGAGCCTTGGAGACCTGGATAATCCAACAGTCAAACAACATAATTTAATTTTTCTTGGAGTATCGAGTACTTACTGTTGTGTGAGGACATGGCCGTCCCACCACAATACTCTCTGTTGGAGGACTCTGGCAGGATAACCCAGGGGTTATCAGCTCACTCTGGCAGGATAACCCAGGGGTTATCATCCTTGGGGGGCCACCAGCTGGTACTCACGCCCATTAGCTGTTTCCCACGCCCACCCACACTCAACTCTGACGTCACTATGTATTCACTTGACGTCCATGGGGGTCAGGGTGGGGGTGTGAGTGTTGGGTTGATGGGCCTGAAGGATCACACCTGTATCATCCACCAATGGATCATTATGTTGGTAAGTTTATTTAGGCACAGGTACACATAAATACAATTATCATATATTGTGTAAATTACCCCGACATTGCCCGGAATGACCCCGGAATGAAAGTGGACTTTCTTTGTACTTAACTAATCAAAACTGTAATTAAACATTTTAACCTTGAGAAGAAATAAAATCTTAAAATTAAGATTAAGATGTTTACTTTGACATGATATATGGTTGTACAGAGGAATATAATAGTTGGGTGTACATGCAAAAAGCCCTTTTGTATGCAGAGCATTTCGGGCCAACTTAAAGATTAACTTGACATTAGGAAGGCAATAACAGTTCATATGGTCATTAGATGAGTTACAGTGAGTAAAAGAGAACTGAATATTCTATCAGGTAATACTTGATAAGTCTAGTAGATAATAAATCGACACCATGCCCAGCCCTTCTAGGGTAGGGTAGGTGCCTGAGCCAGAGCTTTCAGCTCACAAGACTGTCATTCCCATTAGCCCCCTTGGGACGGGGATGGCAGACCAGAGAGGCCTAGCTTCTCCCTATGAGCCCGTGAGGGTGGGGAATGTGGCTAGGCCTGGTGTATCCATATGCTCTCGCGCTACCGTCCACAGGATGGATATGGGGTGCACAATAAACTAGCCACTTCGGTGGCAAAATCTAATCTGGGGACAGAGCTTTACCCTGGTGGCTAAAGCTCCCGCTTCACACACGGAGGGCCCGGGTTCGATTTCCGGCGGGTGGAAATATTTCGACACGTTTCCTTGCACCTGTTGTCCTGTCCACCTAGCAGTAAAAAGGTACCTGGGTGTTAGTCGACTGGTGTGGGTCGCATCCTGGGGGACAATGGAAATAAGTTAGACAGTCCTTGATGACGCACTGACTTTCTTGGGTTATCCTGGGTGGCTAACCCTTCGGGGTTAAAATTCCGAACGAAATCTTATCTTATCTTGTGCCTCCTCCCATGGGAGACTTAGGTCTCAGACACTCCCTAGAAAGGAGCCAAGGCCGGGCCACCACTTGGAAAAGGCCCGGGCCGGGAGAATACCGGCGAATCAACAAGTTTAATAGAGAATTATTACACTATTGAATTAGTTTATAAAGATTACAGTATTACAAATGAACAATTTAAAACAACTTACAATATGATGTATTACAGTTTAGTACTATTTGAAACAATGAAATTTAGACATTCAAATTTTGAAGTAGTAATTGGATGAGCATTCATCATCACAATATGAGTAGCTTTTGAGTAGCTGGTAGTGATTAGGTACGGTTCGTCTGGTTAATTTTGGGCGATGAGATGATTTCTTAGTAGGGCCTTAAATTGATTTGCAGACAGGAGTCCTATAGTGTGTTCTGGCAATGAATTCCAGATCTTCGGGCCCTTTACGTGCTAGCATTTTTGCATAGGGAGAGATGGACATGAGGGATATCGAAGAGTTATTTCCTTCTTGGTTGTGTGTTCTGTTATAGTTATCAAGGAGTTTGAGAGGAGGGTTTACATTTGAATATAGTGTTCTGTGTATGTAGTAGGCACAATAATAAGTGTGGATGTTTTGTATATTAAGCAAGTTAAGACTCTAGAAAAGAGGTGGAGTGTGTTGTCTAATGCAGGAGTTAGTATAATCAATCGCACTGCAGCTTTTTGCTGGTTATTAAAGGCTTAAGGTGATTTGCTGTGGTTGAGCCCCATGCACAAATAGCATATAGGTGAGGTAAGGGTAAATGAGAGAGTGGTACAAAACTAGAAGAGCTGACTGGGGTACATAGTACCTGTGGAAAATACTGTATATATTTTCCAGAAATACAGTAGTTATATGTAAATAGATGGCCATACTGTATTTAATAATATTTATGTCATAGAAAACGGGAAGCTGCGCCTGCGCAGGACAGTCGCCATTATTGTTTGAATTGAACAGAACGTTAGTGATTAATGTGAAGAATTTTCGTGCTCTAGAGGTTAAAATTGGGCTGACACCTCTCAAATAAGAGGCAAAATTGTTGGATGTGCATTCCTGCATAATCTGAGTATCAGGCGACAGGACAGGACAACTCCAGGAACCTCAGATAAGCTGTCTAATTTATGTTTAAATTCTGGCCAGTAAATTTTTCATAAATGTAGGCAGAAGGGGGGGGGTCCTGTACATGACACATTAATCTCCAGTCAAAATGGTGAGTGATATTAAGATATATTTTCCTTCTGTTATGTAAATGTGTATATATATAATTCTTTATTAATTTAATATACAGTCCACAAATTTATATATTTACCAGCATTCCTGGTGATGTATTTTTCATTTGTAATTAATAGGTCCAGAGCAACTTGTGGATATGACAGTGGTAGGTATCGAAGGGGGACATTTTTTGCGACCTAGGTGTCCCAAATTCCTACTTGTCTAACTGATAAATAATAATTATCTTTGTTCATTTACTGTTATGTACATAATGATACATTCAGATAAATGTAATTTTCCACAGTACCGTATCTTTGAAAGGATGCCTACTGTTTTGGAGACTTTCTTGGAAATTTGTTCTATGTGTGTCTGAAATTTGAGATTGCAATCAAGGTGGAGACCTAACAATTTGCCATCTGTCTAGAAATAGGTGAACCATTTTTCAATATGTTTAACTGTACATTTGAAGCTGTTTCCAAAAAGCATGAAGTAGCTTTTGTCTGTATTGAGAGTAAGTTTGTTGGTAATCATCCAAGTAGATATTTTTAACAGTTCAGCATTTACAGTGTCTGTTAGTATGGTTGGGTTTGGATGAGAGAAGACATAAGTTGTGCCATCTGCAAATAAAATGGGTTTAAGGAGATTAGATGCGTTTGGTAAGTCATGATGTAAATGAGAAAAGAGAAGTAGGCGTTGACCCCCGGAACTCTCTCCAGGTAAACTCCAGGTAGTTAGTTTTAGTTTAATATGTTTATTATGCACCCCATACCCATCCTGTGGGCGGTAGTCAAAAGATTACAGAGGTACATAATTGGTCCAGGGACTGGACTCCAAAGTTTTGATAGCTGAGCAAGTTACAGAGGTAATGAACTCACAATTTACAAAGGTAATGAACTCACAATTTACAAAGGTAATGAACTCACAATTTACAAAGGTAATGAACTCACAATTTACAAAGGTAATGAACTCCAGGTAAGTCTGGTCACAATCATGACAAGTTACAAAGGTATTTACAGATTACAGAGGTACGTAATGGGTCCAGGGACTGGGCCCCCAAAGTTTTGATAGCTGAACTAGGTACAAAGGTAATGAGCTCACAAGTTACAAAGGTAATGAATTCTGTAGAATGGTACTTACGTTTATACTTTGGCTACAATCATGAACAAATTATAGAGTAATGAGCAATTCACACTTCCACACCCGGTCACAACTGTAATGAGTTATTGGTGCAAATATTGATTGTTGAGTCACACACACCACACACACACACACACACACACACACACACACACACACACACACACACACACACACACACACACACACACACACACACACACACACACACACACTTTAAACTCCAGGTAACACATGAAAAGTTACTTTTTTATACATGAGTGGCGGTAAGCTATTTAGGTTTCCTGCATTGTTCTTTAGTGTTTTGATGACAAGCAAGATTTCTGTAGGGTTTGTTGGGGCTAAAAATAGAGTATTAGAATAGTTGCCAGTGAGGTAGTCTTTTGGTTGAATGTTTGAGCTTGGGATTTTACGTGCTAGTTTTGTTCCTACGGTAGAGAAAAAGACATTAAGTTTGTTGGCAGTATCGGCTTGCTGAAGGAGATTATTATTATTATTATTATTATAATCAAGGGGGAAGCGCTAAACCCGGAAGATTATACAGCGCCTGGGGGGGGGGGATGTGGAAGGCATTCAGGCTTAATTCGGGGAACTGGAGCACAGATCCAATTCCCTAAATCAAGAGCCCCTCACCAACATCAAGAAACCTTCCTTGAGGGGTTGCTGAAGGAGAGGGTCTTTGGTTTAGTTAAGTTAGTCATTCTGTTTTGTGACAGCTTTTTATATCCTAGAATTTCAGATAAGGTTTTCCAGGTCTTTTTCATATCGCCTTTTATGTCATGAAATCTGTTTTCATAATACAGTTTTTTGGTCCTCCTTATTAGATTGGTTAGTACTGACGAGTAACGTTTTGTAAGATCCTTTGTTATTAGACCCATTCTGTACTGTTTTTCGTATAGATGTTTTTTATCAATAGATTTGAGGATGCTGTTTGTAAGCTAGGGGCTGTTTAGTCTCTTTGTGCTGTTTGTAAGCCAGGGGCTGTTTAGTCTCTTTGTGCTGTTTGTAAGCCAGGGGCTGTTTAGTCTCTTTGTGCTGTTTGTAAGCAAGGGTGTTTAGTCTCTTTGTCCTGTTTGTAAGCTAGGGGCTGTTTAGTCTCTTTGTGCTGTTTGTAAGCTAGGGGCTGTTAGTCTCTTTGTGCTGTTTTGTAAGCTAGGGGCTGTTTAGTCTCTTTGTGCTGTTTGTAAGCTAGGGCTGTTTAGTCTCTTTGTGCTGTTTGTAAGCTAGGGGCTGTTTAGTCTCTTTGTGCTGTTTGTAAGCCAGGGGCTGTTTAGTCTCTTTGTGCTGTTTGTAAGCTAGGGGCTGTTTAGTCTCTTTGTGCTGTTTGTAAGCTAGGGGCTGTTTAGTCTCTTTGTGCTGTTTATAAGCTAGGGGCTGTTTAGTCTCTTTGTGCTGTTTATAAGCTAGGGGCTGTTTAGTCTCTTTGTGCTGTTTGTAAGCTAGGGGCTGTTTAGTCTCTTTGTGCTGTTTGTAAGCTGGGGGCTGTTTAGTATCTTTGTGCTGTTTATAAGCTAGGGCTGTTTAGTCTCTTTGTGCTGTTTATAAAGCTAGGGGCTGTTTAGTCTCTTTGTGCTGTTTATAAGCTAGGGGCTGTTTAGTCTCTTTGTGCTGTTTATAAGCTAGGGGCTGTTTAGTCTCTTTGTGCTGTTTGTAAGCTAGGGG